AAACAAGGATGACATGTTTGCAATACATACGAGCCCCTTCGAGCCACTGTAAAAGTCCTTATTCATACAATAGTCCATCTACGGGTGATAGCTAGCAACGTGCAACCAACACAGTAGAGTCCCTTGAAAAATGTGCACAGTGCAGAATGCAATGAGTGCGAATACCTGCTGGTAATAATAGAAGATTTGCTGCATGCACAGCAATGACGATCAATAACAGGCAACAAATGTATGCATTATACACAGATCATGAAAATTCTGATAAGTAGTAATAACAATGGCTAAGTGGTGGATGTGGTAGTCTCCCTAAATTCAATATCAGTCAACTTGTAAATGAATATGTTAGTTCACTTATAAGCAATGATAATGGATAAACTTTACGTATGATAGCCTCCTATGAACATAAAGCTATAATCCAAGCAAATGGAGCAACTTGTTAGTCAATGTATATAAGAAAAGCAACAATGAGTGCAATTATTGGCGGTCGTCATCAACTTACAACCAAATACATTAACTCATATAAGCAGAGGTCGATGAAAGACAACAAATGCGAGCACATATGAGCTGCCACAAGAGACCTGGTATTTGCAAGCAAAATGCAAAAGAACTACAATGAATGCATCTTATCTACATGTAGCAGTAATAGATATACTGTAAGGATTAGGAGTCCATTATGAATGTGCAATATGCCATTCACTAGCAAGGACTAAAGACCATGAGCAAAATGTAAAAGGATTATAACAAATGCAAGTTCCTACGGGTTATTGTGGGAGATTCATCAGTGCACAACAATCTACCCGTATAAAGCAGCAAACAACTCGCAATTTAACGCCAAGTCACCGGATCTGCAACATTCATACAAACGGACATAAAACATTTCGAGATTCCAAATTGAGACTTTTAATGTTTGACAGCGATGGTCATTTGCATAGCTGATAATTACAAAAATGCCCATACACACTGAAATGCATAGTGACTCATTCACAAATGTGATGCCTAAGGATCCTGCACAGGTCAAGGAATGGACTTAAGTTTGAGCTCGATCTTTGTATGTGAATGGATAGGAGTCGACACGGCTTGAATCAACAAACAAATATACAGTCATAAGGTCCACCAAGATATTTATTTTATATATTCATATTAGGTCTTCAAAGCACTCAACAAGGAAAATTCACTAACAAAAGTAGAGTCAGCAACGAATCCGATCTTCTATTAGCAATTAGACAGAGTCGACAAGGTTCAATAGATAATTACAATAATGCCCCCTAAATACCCGTATGGGCCCCGACAAGCGTGTTATGGGTACACGTGATATCTGAGGATGCTGTGCGGGTCAAATGATAAATTTAAGTTCGAGCTCGATCTTTCTATTCAAGTAGATATGAGTCGACATGGATCGAACTATCAAACAAATATACAGACATGACATTGGTCAAGATATTTGTTTTATACATTTGTATTAGATCTCTAAGGCCTATAATCAGAAAAATTTACTAAAAAAGCACATAGCTGCCAATGATCATGATCCTATGTCGAGAGGTAGACAAATTTAACTGATAACATAAAAATGCCCATTAATACCCCGATGATGGTCGTATTGATAGAAAATCTCAACTGAAAGGGTCCCCAAATATTCAAAATACCTTCCAAATTTTTAGATGCCCATAAAAATCGAAAAATAAAAAACCAAATTATAAAATATTTAAAATGGAAGTAAATCATCAAACAATTAATGTAAAAATGCCCATCCACCCTCCGTAATAATTTGATAAGGTGGACAAATTTAATTATCACTTCAGCTCATAAATAGTTAATGTCTGGTCGAGAATATCACTAAAATTCGTTCTCAAACAGTCTCTGACCAGTAAGGACATGACATTGGTTCTCTAATCAGGTGGTTTGGCCAATGGCTCCATAAATAACCTGTGGCTTAGCCAGATCAGCTCCATGTCATTAACGATTATGATCATGACCCTCTGACCTAGTGGCTTGATTAAATGACTCCACTATATTAAGTTGCGGTAATAGCCCATATACTCCCCAATGGCTTAAAATTCTTGAAATATGAATCAATAGTATATGTTCGATAGGACACAAATCTCTTGTTAGCTAAGGTTTATTTAAATTTATCCTTTTAGACAAATATTCATCTTAGGTCAACAAGTACCTTTGGACAAAGCAACCCATGGTCTACAAGTACCTTTCGACGAAGAAAGCCATAGCTGTTGACAAGGATCATTCTGTCAGGTTAGGTCGACTACCTCCTTTGAGTAAGTTGACTAGGGGCCTTGACGACCCAGGACGACGGAAGCATGAATCTTGGTCGGGTCCATCATCACTTCCCCCACCATCCGCGTTAAGTGCGAGGTGGTAAAATTTCAATTTTAAATATTAAATTTTCAATTACCCAAATCATGCTTCTACTATACGTGGCCAAATTTTAAAAAGGAGCTTGATTAATAAGTAATTTTGTAAAAAGAGCGTAATCATTAAAAAATTTAAAAAGAAGCATAAACGCCTAATTATTTCTTAAGAAAAAACTAATATATTTAGCACTTTCGTAAAAACGTCTTTAGAAAAAAAATGACATTTAACCTATTTTATAAATATAAAACTTTGTACTATTTAGCAGCAAACAAAGAACATTCATTTGGTGTGTTTCCTTAGTCCCTTAGAAGATACTCAAGTTCGAATCCTAGCTAAAACAACTCAAACTTGGATATATGAATTTTTATTTTAAATATAAAAAAATTAATTAAACTTATGTTTAATACTAAAAAAATAAAAAATAATATAATAAGATATAAAATATTATATTGATTTTAAATAATAATCATTAAATA